TTAAAATTTTAAAATAGAGAGTTACTTTTCAACCACCCACATGAAGCATTTGCATCTGCAAATATTGCTGATTAATATTCCTTAAAAACACGTGTCCATTTTGTAACTGGTCGTCCTGGATGATGCTCAAATCCACTTCAATTCCACTTCACTGTTGTTCCTATCCATGCACCAACGACTCTTCTCATTCAACGATTTTTATTTTATACGACCCGTCTTCATGTCTACTGGGCGGATCCCTGAACTTCTCACATTCGTTTGGTTTCCTCGTGACCACCTCCACGAAAGCCTTGCAATTTCTGCGTGTGGCTTCGGTTAGTGCTTAAAGATTTTCATTTCGTTTTGAATGCCGTAGAATGCTGGTGGAGTCGCTTCTCCCTGGATTCCTGAGATAGCCGAGCATGACTGTTCCCATTTGAACTGTAAAGGGTGGTTTTTTCCTGGACAAGTTCGGTATGAATTTCCCTACCCTAGAGAGATGGCAAGCCTGGGGCGTGATCGAAGCGGCACCATGCTTATGATGGCCGGCATCACCACCACATTGTTATCCGCATCCTTCATTAAATGATTAGCCTATCTATGCTTTGCTTTCTACAGTTATTCCCACTGTTCTTAACTTTTGAAGACGAGAACTATGAAGGCGGGCGTTATGTTGCACAGGGGCTGGTAATTTTTTAGAAGGTATCGTATAAGAACAAGACGCTTGCTGATCGTCCTCGCAAGCTGGAGGAGGTGCAGAGAAAATTCTGAAAAACGCGGAACACTTCAAAAATAGGCGGAGATAGTGCAGTGGTTAGTGGCCCAGACAATCAGGAACCAAAGGCCTGAGTTCGGTCCCCGCTCCAACGCTCTTCTTCAATCCACGTAGGAACTGTAGCCCGGCTATCTCCAAGATTGTAAGGAGAATTGATTCGCATAGAAGCGACGTCTGGAAGAGCGCGCGAAGTGTTCGTAGAGTTGCGTGGATGTTGGACGCGATAAAAACGAATCGAATGCAAAAAGTGCTAGAATCCGCACAATAGATGTGATGACGGATGATGAAAAATGAAAAATGGACAAGGTCTAGATATGACGTACTCAAACCGTTAACCAGTGTATCAGCTGTCTAGCAGAGCGCCTGCAACACTTCTAGGTGAAAAAAGTTACCAACCACGAAGCGTAACAATATTTCAAAAACCGACTTTTCCTTAACCTCAACATGACAATTCAATACAAATAAAACACCTCATTGGCCAACCTGTCCGGGATTTCCCCTTCTTCAAAGCTGGATTGATCCGAGTCGATTGTCCATAGCTAAGGAGAGAGTTTGGTTCTTTCGAGCGATGCTACGGTGGATTCGACATCACGTAGTCACGAAAACACATATCGGAAAAAGTAAAAACTGTGGACAATCCAGTCGTAACAATCTGGCTTTGAAGAAGGCAAAGACGTCGACAAGCTAGCAGAATGGTTTTCTTATCAATCTTGTGTTAACTAACCAGCGGAAGAATACACAATTATCACGATATTCTGGACTAGTTAACTAACACGTGACGTCTTCGGGAGTTGCGAACGTGGTTCAGAATGCTATCCTTCCTCCGTATGCTTCCTCTATCGTTTTTCGTCATTTTCAATGAAGGCCATTCGAAAACTGAAATGTTGGTCCCACTAATCAAAGCATCGTTCATTTTGATTTGTTTGCCTTCGTACCATGCAGGAATATCCTTCATGCAGAACACTTCCTCTATGTCATCCGCAGCTTTACCGTTTATCCATTTTTGTGGAATTCGTGAAGCATCGTATGTTCTTCGTATGTCCTTCGCGACGATTCTTATTCTTCATCAATACTCGACGACTTTAAAATAATTGGTAACTTAAGAAGTTGGGCTTATTAAAAGAAAATTTATCATATCACTCCCCTTGGTGTACGCAACTTTTCTTTCGAAAATTCCACTTTGATCCCAATTTTTTGAATGAGAGCTCAAAAGCGCAATTACAGTGAAAGTCTTTAAACTTTCTACCTCAAATACGGCATTCGGCATTGACAAAGCTTTCGTGAATACGATTGGACCCCTATTGTTCTCACTCGAAATACGAGCTAGCATGAGAACAATAAGTTTTGTGTGTTCTCGAAGCGTTACAGCCCATTTTGATCGACTGTGTAAAATTCTGTCTTCTTGACATAGATGAGTAGACATAAATGATTTTCATCCCATTTGAGCAGACCTACATAAATGAATTTTTTCCACATTGATATTTCTATGGTGAGTGGGAAACTGGGCCGATGTGAGGTTTTAAAAGAGAATGAGGAAAAACGTGGGTTCCACGGAATCACAATTTCATCTTAGTAGAGTAGACGAAGTTTTTTCTACACGACCACTCTCTCATATCTACTGCGCGGATCCTAGCACTTCTTGCACTGGATTCGTTTCCTTGCTTCCATCATCCACGAAGGTCTTCCAACTTTTTACGTATGGTCTCGGTTGCTGCTTGAAGACTTTTCTTTCGTCATGAGAGTCGTTGAACGCTGGTCGAGTCAATTCTTCCTCGAACACCAATTTCCCAACCTCTGAGGAACAAGAGGCTTGTTCACCCCGGAGCAGGGTAGCACCCGTACTATGCTCGCGACGATAAGTGATAACGAAAAGAAATTATTTTTCAGATCAAAGATCTGTAAATTTTAAATGTTTTTATTTCACTTCAGATATCCTTCATCCTTGATCGATCGGTCACTTCTTCATTCCTGCCTTTATTTTTTATTTCGGGCTTAATACTGTTCCCGAAACAACTAATGGGAAGACCGAACGTGGTGGGAATCGTTGCCGGGAAAATAATTTTCTTGCAAGGTTAACTCGAGACCCCGGGAAAGACAGAATGCTCAACTAACAAGAGACCAGCCTCAGTACCCCGGACACTGGATACATCCGTTGCTCACGTTCAGCTGTAGTACGACCGGTGAGAGGCCACAAATCTTGGGCTGCGCACGACGTCACTGGAATCTGGATCTGACGAACACATACACGATAGCTCATGGAGATTGTTTCTTACTATGCACATACAATACCAGAACACTCTACTCAGACCCGATCTTCACATCCTTCTTGAAACCGCTGATACCACAAAATTCCACGTAATCTCTCTTCAAGAAACAATAGGCAAGAAGACTGAAACCCGCCAACTAGATATCGAAACCTTATCATTCGAGCAGAAAAAGTTCCGTCACGAAATGACGGTGGCATAAGCTTTGTCCGTTAACCTGTCCATTTCGCATCTTGTCTACTCATGCGAAATCCTTTCCACTCTAGCGGTCGTCCTCGGTCTACATAACGCATCGTAATAAGATCACTATCAGCAACTGCTACTAGCCGCCCGATGCAGCTGATGAGCACGAATTAGATGCGTTCTACCGCCAGCTGGAGGAAGTTATCAGCATTGAAAACCGTATTATAAATTTTGTTGTCAGAGAATTCAACGCCAGGGTAAGAAAGGCCAACGAGAGCGAATATTACCGAAAAATTTGGATTAGGAGGAAGAAAAAAGAGTGGGAACGCTCTTGCGAGACACCTTTCTCCAGCACCCTGGAAAGTTGACTTTTCAGAATAATGAAAGCCGTTGCTAGATATGGGAGTCTCCTAAGAGCTCGACTCAAGCGAATACTGACCATATTCTGATAAATAGAAGATGGTGCCTACTTGACACATCGGTAGTCCTATCATTCTGTACTGGTTTCTATCACCGTCTTCTTCGCGCTAAGATTCGATACAACTATGAGGTGGAAAAGAATTCATGTCGTCGGCCACGAATGAATAGTCTGGCCGTATGTGGCGAGAACATTTTGAGTGAAATCCTATCTAGACGTGACCAGCAGATTAAGAAAGACCAGATGAAGATTACGAGCTGCTCGTCGAAAGTCTTCAAAGTTATGCCGAATTCGCGTCACTTCCTCAATTAGGAGAATCAGATTGCATGTCCTTTAACACTAAGCAGTTGCTTAAAAATAAAAGGAAACCATAGGTTCGATTGTAGTGCAATACCTTCAACAAGGCTAGTAATAAGTGCCAGCTGCACAAGAGCTTTGCAGAAAGATCTACACCGGTGCAGCAAAAAAAGCTATTAGAAGCACCACAAAAACGAACCTGTCTGAAAAAATGTCGTCGGAACTTGTGCGAACAAAAGTACTGAGATTGGAAAGGGGTCCGTACTTATGGAAAATTGCTATCAATTCCTTGATTCGTCAACGACATCATCATTTTCTCAAGAAGTACGAATAAACCAGAGAAGATGATCAATGAGCTCAACGAAGCGGGAAAAAAAATCGGACTACACATATATTGGAAGAAAACCTAGCCTATGAAAAACCCATGAGGAGAAGACGATCAGACTAAACTGCATAGTTTTCTGATTGCAGAGGCCAGCTCATACGTATACATTGGGCGTTTAACGAACATTGAGAACAACATGAAGGAAGAATTATACAGGAGCGCAGATTGGACCGCATTCGCGCTGCTTGAAGAATCCAACGATCAACTAATGTACCCGAAAATCCGCTCCCACTTTTTCTATTCAGTAATCCTCCCAGCGCTTTGTTATGCAGCAGAAACCTGGATTGATACTTCGTCAACGTCAAGAATACTGAGCATTACTTACACAGTGAAAAATTGTTTTACTCACATAGAGCTTGAACAATATCTCCTGAGAAATAACCAGCACACACAACATCCTGCAGGAATGCGAAGCTCTGATCTTCGAAATCCAGGAGAATATACATCGACAGCGATATATAGATGGGCCTGCCCTGTCATGAGAGAAGCAGACGATAGATGGACGAAGAGAAAGAACTGTAGAGTGGACTCCACGAGGATGGAAGCACCCTCTAGGACGATCACCTACACGTTGCTCAAGCGTAACCAGAGTTAACCATCAGTACTCGAAGCTGCAGTTGTTTTACAGGTCACGGTACGAAACATTCACCCACCACCATGCTCTAATCAAAGCACCACCACGACGATGGTTGCGAGGCAATGAAAAGAATGATAAACGTGAAAGCGTTCGCACAACTCGTGAACAAAGACCGTTCAACCAACGAAGCAACATCTATTTCCTTTAATGTGCTGAAGTCAATGCATGTTGTCACGAATATTTCACCGGACAATCACAACTATCGACAACAACTGTCCTGTACAAAACAGCATCGCCGCTTGACTATCTCTTATTGGAGAGACGCTCCACTGGAGAAGATCCGATTCGACACGGAGACGAAGACACCACATCCAGAAGACGAACCACAGTGGATAAGCGACGCGGATCATCGGCTCCGATGAAGATGAAGGTGACGGAACAGTAGGCGAAGAATTGTTCGCACTTTATTTCCTGAGTCGCCTTTGTCCACAACGTTCAACACCCAAACAGCAAAAGTTCTTACAACATCATTTTCAATATTCGCTTCCTTGATGCTGCTACTAGCTTACTTTTCACAGATTTATGTAAATTGGAGAAAAATTGTAAAAGGCGAATGGAATCAAAGGCAGTACCGTAAGGTGCCGCATGTTCAGTACACCGCGGATAGTATACGCCGAATGGAGACAGATGCAGAACAAGTACCTAAGTAATACATATCTTGGCGAGAGATACAACACTCTAACTGCTCAGTGATAAGAGCATTCTTGACTATAAACTCTTTGCTGCATAGAGATACAATTATTTTGCAATATTTTCCATCGGATAACCGACAACAGACACCCTGCACGGTACCTACTGCACTGAGCACTGAGACCAGTTAGTACCCTCTGTCGTCAAACACTGCATGTTGTTTGGATGTTCACAAAGCGAACCTTTACCTAGCAACGCTGCTTATTAGCATTATTGACCCTATAAGTGGAAATTACGGGAACCTCCCAATTGCCTACAACCATTTCTAGGACGTTGTTTATATAATAAATCGAATCAATACTCGCCAAAATTTACCAGATAAAAAGTTCAGGCATAGTGTCAATCATTCATATAGTGAAAGATTATAAGGTGCACATGTTACTCAGCGAGAGTGCATCGTTGCACTCCTCATATACCTCATAGCATGCTAATGAAACATTCATAAATGTAGAAGTTCTGCTCTGTACGAAAATCACCTAAAATCACTGACAGTATCCTCACCTTCAACTTGCACCCATCTCTACCTCCCTACCTCTACCTATTCTGCACATGGCTCATAATGACAGCAGTATGCTAATCAACCATTCATAAATGAAGAGGTTCTGTAACAAATAAAAATCACCTGACCTCATCAATAGCATCCTTACCTCTTCCCATCACCTTTCAGATGACCTGTATCAAATCCATCACCAAGCGCAACACTTAGACCCAGAACGACCACTATAAATTGACTACTGCATACACTTTGCGTCACTCCTGATATTCCACAAGTTTGAAAGAACGTCTATATCAGAAACAAGGCGAAAAAACACGTAAATCATTCTTACCACTTCCTTCATGTGGAGAAACCTGGACGAACTTTGTTTAAGAACCTTAACTTTACGACTACTCGGCGAATGGTTTACGTCGATAACAAATGAGGGCCAATTCAGGACAGTGATCACCCCGTCAATCCATAGAAACCTCTTCGAAACCTTTACTCACTCAAAATACATAGAAACATAGAACCAATTACAAGTTAACTAATATGGGAGTAGCGGTTTAAAGATAAGAAAAAAGAAAGATGAAAAAATGACAAATACAATTGTCAGTCAAACAGTAATACATGCACGACTTCAATAGCACGGCATCACCCAGTAAACAAAAACTGTTTCATAATGAACGATCTTTTAAAGTTGGGATGGAACACGCTCTATTGGGATAGAGCGCTTCTGAGCACCAGGCTGACCAACCTTCGGTGCTTCGACGGAGAGATGACCGGCATCGTTCAGCTGAGTGCGGAGCGCCTCCAGATCTACGTTTTCCGGCAACGTCCACTTGCGAACGAAAGATCTTAAATGAATTGTTTCGGTTGAGAGGAAAGACACAACTACTAATTGCATTTACAATATTTACCACGTATTCACAACCACATGAAGAAGTAATTCTATGGTTCCACATGTAATGAATCACTTTGAACTCACTAAAAAGATCGCACAGCAAGCAGGAAAAATTGTTTTCCAAAGTAATTCTTGAGGGATTTAGACACTTAAAACTCCACCGGTTCTTTATTTTCGCCCAAATTCTGTCATTATATTGCACATGCAGACGATATAAGCACGTTAGGTTATTAGCATCTATGCCTCATTTGGCAAACTACAAGTAACCTTTGATCCAGTTCACCTTCTCCATCAGATACCTTACCGATAAAAACAGGTCGCGCACGTAATTGAACTTTTGTTGTATTCGGTAGGCACATCGATCCACTGACGGTGTTCAAGTGATTTGCTGCTTCAGTGATGGAAATACGAGCTTTAAAACAAACCAAGGTCTTGACCCTCGACTACGTAGACCTTAGAATTGTTTAACTACTATGCTATCATAATACTCCTTTCAATGAGCCTCAATAGACTAGAACTCGTTCATAACTCAATTGAACGTGCTCGCTAGAAAACCACACAAGGTAACTCAACCATGATCAAAACGACGAGAATTCAAAATGTGGTGAACTCACTCGACTTGGGCTAACAGGATTTGCTTAGACCACTGTGATGTCCCGTCGTGCCCTCTTCAAAACTATCACAAATTCGAATTCATTCAGCACGATTGCTTTAACGGTATTATTAATTCACTTCAAAACAGGACACAGCAGATAAGCTTGATCAATCAGTCAAACTAAAACCCCGCCTCTTGCAACTGATAGGATCAAATCATTGCGGAATCGACGGGTCAAAGAAGTCCATGCTGATGGAAATCACCACTACGCAAAGTTGGATTTCAAACAAACGATCCCAAGAAGCAATTTTCTAATGTTACCTAGCTCTAAAACTATCATAAAACACGAAAGACCGACTTTCTATGAACCTCGGCATAAATAGTTGATATATTTATTTATGAGATCTTATAAACTGAACTACGTGTGGGCCAGTCCCGCACGTAACATCACGGTGAGTGGCCTTTCTGTTCAATATGGCGTCTATTTGAAAGTT